GTCTCAAAGATGGTATGCGATAAATTCAAAATCATTTTCTTTTAATTGGTTATTTTGTAATTAATTAATTTGTTTTGTATTGTTTTAGGATGTTGGAGAGATGAGGGATTATGGGGTTGTGTTGTTGGTGCAAATGGCGGCTGAGTTGTTGAAAGACAGGCTTCCGGAAGCAAGAGAGGCGGCTAGAGGTGTTGTGGTGGTGATTCATAAGGTGGTTATGGAGGAGGAAAGGAGTGAAGAAGAAGAAGAAGAAAAGGAAAAGGAAAAATGGCAAAACTTTTGCCAAGAGAATTTGTCTGCTATTGATGCATTGGCTATGGTTAAACTTGTTGCATCTCAATAGATTTTTTTTTTTTTTTTTTTTGTATGTGTGGTTTTAATGTTTAGGAAGATCATGATGCTGATGAAATGGTCTTTTAGGGTTTGTTTTTTTATTTGTTCCTATCAAGTTTTGTGTGAATAAAATGATATCTTTAGAGGCCTAAATTGTTGGATCTTCTCTTTTGAGTTATTTTTGCATTAAATTGGACCATTAAGCTAAAAAAGATTGGCTTAATGGGACCAACTCTTTACTTATTTTATCAAATTTGAATCAAAGAATGTCATTAAAATTGATGAATATTATGAAATTTGTCTTTTAGTATACAATGACAAAAAAACTCATTTAGTCATTCAAAAAAAAGTGAAAACAAAAATTAAATCTGAATGTTGTTTTGCAAAAGACATGAGAATGTCCTCAACATTGTTTTTGGAAAACTACAAATTTGTCTTTTAAGTTGCCAATAAACCCCAAAAAATGTTATTAGAAGCTAACAATTTCATGGTTTTTGTATTTCCATAAAATGTCATATTTTAGTTTTAAATTTGTTATGAATTTGATCCAAATTTTAAAATTTGTCCAAACTTTAGGCAGTTTTTTTTCTTTACAGATTTATTATTATAGGTTTTTTGCAACTTTTTTTACAACCTTTATAAACCTTTTTAAACATTTAAAAGACTTTTTACAATTATGTTAAGAAAATTTATAATTTTTTTTTTATAAATAAGTATAAAAAATTTTAAGACTTTTTAAAGAGTTTTTTACCACTTTTTTTTTTTTTTTTTTTAATTACAACATTTTTTACAACCTAAAAAAACCATTAAAGTAATGTTGTATGAACGTATAAAAATGTTAAAGAAATTTCTACAAAAAAAGGTTTACAAGAGATTGTAAAAAATATGCAGATATACACTCTTTTACAATATTTAGAAATATTTTTGTTTAAAAAATGTTGTATGAAAGTATTTTAAAAAGTTTAAAGAAGTTGTAAAAAAAAAGTTTAAAAACTTATAAATCAAAGGATAATACCGATATTTTCTCGTACTAACAATCAAACGAGAAAAATTGGAAATTCCTTTCAAATTAGTGAAACACTCATCTTTAACGTAAGCGTGATAAAACATCTCAAGTTGTTCTTCAGGATCTATCATATCCCAATCATCAAATTCATATTTGTACAACTTACCCAACTTCAACAACTTTGATTTATCAAATTGTGCAAATGAATCACAATGACTTAAAGCACCCATGTATTCTAGTAACTAGATGCAAAGATGTAGCCACTCATGCATAAGGTAGGTCCTAGGACCTACCTTTTTTCTTTTTTAGCACAACAATTATATTAAAAAAAACATAAGGAACTATCTTATTTTTGCCAAAAGACTTACATTTTCATAATTTTTCCGTTTCATTTATATAAGGAACTATGTTGATTTTGGTTCTAGATTTGCTACTGACTGGATGCTTGTTTCACTTAATCGATCCTGATATTCTATAAGTTGCATATCCATCACAGTGTTGAAGATTTCAACTTCAAAATGAAATATGTTAGTCTTTGAGGTCTTACGGTTTCTCGCACCAACATACAAATCTTCCATCTCCAAAGTATCAATATTATGTGTTTGACAAAAAGATGATATATATGGCAAAATGCTATCAAACCTTGTGTTTCTTAAAGATTTCAATGCCTCGAGTGTCCCTCTAACCATCGAAGCCGCTTCTAAAATGTCTAGATCTTTTTTTTGAAGTTGTTTTGACAATGTACCCGTGAGGCATAAAATGCCATACATCATATATAAGTAAAACACAAACTCATATGATTTAAAATATGCTAAGATTCTGGATGCTTGTTGATGGTTTCCCAATGACCCTCCGTCCTCTTTCACAATATCTAGAACTACAAGAACGCCCGCAAACAACTTCATCAAACTTGTGAGTGTGTTGAAATATGACCCACACCTTGATTTAACCCTCTCCCGGTTTGAATTTCACCAATACACAAGCCTTTTTGCACCATTTCTCTTGCTGGTTCTCGTAGTAAGTCTTTTCTTTTACACGAAGCACAAACAACATTAACTACCAACAAAATTTGCTCAAAAAACTCACTAACAGCATCATGCTTTTTTGCTATAGCCACAACCACTAATTGAAGTTAATGTGCAAATCAATTTACATAAAAAGTTGTGTCATTCTCTTGTAATATCAAAGCTTTCAAACCATTGAATTCCCCTCGCATATTGCTAGCTCCATCGTAACCTTGTCCTCTTTTATATATATATATATATATATATATATATATATATATATATATATATATATATTACACATAAAGAGAATTAAATTAAATTCAAATAACAAAAAAGTAAAGAATAAATTACCTGACTAAAACTCAACTTATTACTTGTAAGTACTTCACTTATAGTGTTTTTGAGTGTCAAAGAGGATGTATCTTTCCTTCACAAAGCCAAGACTATCAACATATTATAAAATAATAGCCATTTGTTCTTTTTTCGAAACATCATTAGATTCATCAACCAATAAAGTAAATACATGTTGACTAATCTCTTCACGAATACTCAAAAGAACCTCTTGTGCAAAACATTACACAAGTTCTTTTTGAGTTTTAGGGCAAATCATTTGATCGTTTTTAGGAGCCTTTTCCAAAGTATAGTTGAAAATATCTTCATTATCCTTCGAATGTTTTTTAACACTTCAATATAAAGCTCTCTATTTTGCGAGTTAACCGAGTCGTCATGACTATGAAAAGGTAAACTCGTTTTCAATAAAAGTCTACAAACACTAATAGAAACACGTAATCGAGCTTTATATTTATACTCCTCCGCTTCGGTTTGCCTCTTCAAGACTACACTAATAGCTTGTTTTTCTCTCATTAAAAATTCACATTTTTCTATTGCTTTGTTGTGAAAACTATCAACACTACCCACTCTTTGTTCCATGAGGTCTCCATTATCATTAGATTTGTTAGATTCATTAGAACATGTTTGTGGGATTGCATTAGAAACTGAATGGATTGATTGGTTGGTTATTGGTGTTTGGGAAAATCCTTCATCACTTTCATTAGGATTAGGTTTTGGTCTTTTGGTTAGAAAACCACCAAGGGTACCTACACTTCAATATTAAGCTAAATAACAACTAATTTCACCAAATCATCCAATAACTTCAATAAAAACGTAGCAATTGCACCAAATTAAACAATAAATTCAATAAAAACATAGCAATTTCACTAAATCAATCAATAAGTTCAATAAAAACATAACAATGTCGAAGTCCTAAAATAATTGATAAATTTTCAAAGTATCAATCAAACTTACTTGCTTCATTCTAGGGCTTGGGGTAGATTTTCGAACCACAGAAGATAACAATGATTGAAGAAACAACCGATTGCAGCAACAATTGAAATTTTCGAACAGAAAAAGGAAGCCTCGAACAAGCGATTGCGACAAGAACAACCGAACAGGAGGAGTCGGAGGTCACTATTGTCGAGCTGAGTTCTTGGCTTCGATTTTTTTATTATTATTTTTTTTTTTATTTTCTGCTTCTAAAATCCGATGGGATCCACCACAACTACAACTGACCAAGTGAACAATCAACTATTTTGTCCATCTTTTTTTACTTTTTTTAGACTACAATGGAATAAAATTTAAAATATTGAGCTCCTAATTCTAAGTTCTAATTATATTTTTAGGTTTGGTTGATTCAATAGAGTGATACTTTTTTTAGTAGTTGAACAGTTGTTTAATGTAATGGCACAATAGGTAAAAAAATCGAAAAATTTTCTAATGCATGCAGGAATAACAGATATTCAGGACACCTAATGAAAACCGTCCATGCTTGTTGGCAACTTGAATACAATTTCAATAGTATCTATTCGATCGAATAAATCGGGTTTTGTTTATTCCATTTGGTTTAATCAGTTTTTTTCTTTTAACAATTCTAATTTATCTATAACCAACAAGAATAGATTTCAAATTATTCGGTTTTAGCCTTTTAGGTTATTCAGTTAAAGCTCCACATGTTTTATGCTAAATCATTTTCATTCACAAATTAAGAAACTACGATAGCCAAAAAAAGCTTTAGAACCCAAGAGACATTTTTTTAGCTTTACTAATTGCATCCAAGGGATACTATTTCTTAAATGTCTACCACTATGAACTTTTTATATCTAGATCTTTTGTACATAAGTTTCATGAAATAAAAAAATCAAGGGTAAATTACACAAATGGTCCCTGTGGTTTAGGGTAACTTGTGCGTTTGGTCCCTAACTTGTTTTTCTAACTCGAAAGGTCCCTACTGTTTATTTTTGTTACACGTTTGGTTCCTGTCTTACATAAAAAGTCTTTTTTTCCCTTGATTTTTTAATTTATTTAAATAAACACACCCACAACCCCACCTCCGCTCCTTAACTTATCTACCCTATTATTTTTCTCTATTTAAATAATTGTTTTTTTACGTAAGATAGAAACCAAACACATAACAAAAACAAATAACAGGGACCAAGTGTGTAGCAATAACAAACAGTAGAGACCTTTCAAGTTAAAAAATTAAATTAGGGATCAAGCGTGCAAATTACCCCAAACCACAGGGACCATTCGTGTAATTTACTCAAAAATCAAACATGTTTTAATTTTAAGACATTTTCTTTTTCTAAAAGATAAGTGTTCTACAATCTATTACTATTATTAATTAAAATAAAAAGTTCCTACAATGTAAAAAAAAGATTACAGATTACAAATTTTAATAAACAAACTCTACCTAAATCTTGAAAAACAGAACATAAATAGCTCACAAATGGCATTTCAATGAACAATCTTTCCTAAATCTAAAAATGAGAATAAAAATTAAATAAAAAATCATTTGGTTTGTTGTTGAATTAATGTGCGTAAAGCTGACTCAACATCTGTAAGTGGTTGACCAACATAGAGCTGAAGTTGACCTTTTTTCACCACAACTACTTTCATAATCTCTGATTTAACTGCATCTTCAAGCTCCTGAAATAAATAGCAATCTACTTTTATCCATGTTTTTAAAAATCATAAATCTACCAAAAATGTTATCTTAATAATAAACATTAAGGTTTTTTTTTTTTTCAAATCCACTTGATTATAGTAATTTCATCAAGATACATTGTAATTTTCATTGTTATACTCGGTAGATTTCACAAAAGTATAATATGTTAAAAAAAAAAAAAAAAAAAAAACCCTACAATGCTATTAGTTGCTATATTTTTATATTACGATGCTTTATAAGAAATAAAAATAGAAACTTCCAAAGCCTAAACATTTGAGAAGTTTGAATATATAAGGAAAGTGAGAGAAATATTGAATTATTGAAATTGAAGTTGAAGTGCTCCTTTCTCTTTTAAATTTAAACAAATAGTTTAGATAAACGAACAAAGGAAATAATTTGGGTTTTAATTTAAGAATTTTTAAATGATAAGGAAAGTTTGCATTAACAAAATTGATATCCATTTGTTATTGCAATTATTACATTTAAATATTATGTGGGATTTAATAAAATGGAAAAAAAAAAAAAATAACATGTGGAAAAAATTTAATTTGAAATAACCACAAAATGACATATGGCAAAATGAATCAGAGTGTAACATGTGGAAAAAAAAAAAGGTTTTTATTTATTAAATTATTAAAATAAAATAAAAAGTAGATTTATTGCAATTATTATATTTAAATACTATATGAAAATTTTAATAAAATGGAAAAAAAACAATAAAATGACAAGCGGAGAAAAAATAATTTAAAATAACAACAAAATGACATTTAACAAATGAACAAAAGTATAACATGTGGCTAAAAAGATTTTTATTTATTAGAGTAGAAGAACATTTATTGCAATTATTACATTTAAATACTACGTAGAATTTAATAAAATGGAAAAAACCATAAAATAACATGCGGAAAAAATTTAATTTAAAATAACCACAAAATAACATGTAGTAAAACGAACAAGTGTAACATGTGTCAAAAAAAGATGTTCATTTATCAGAGTAGATTTGTAATAAGAAGAAAGATAGTAAAATATACAAGTAAATAAAAGAACATTGCTATATCTTGCAATTAGCCCTAAAAAAAAAGAAGGATACTAATACTTACATTTGTTGGAATTGGTATGATATTAGTGGTGAAATCTTCTAAATCTTGGAAAAAAGATTCCAAAAGATAACAGAAATTTGTGGCATCACCACGATCTTCAAAAGCAACGGTGTGTGATAATCCACTCTTACTTTTAAAATTACTCCTTAAAGTAAATAATCCTTCAGATTCTTCACTTTTCCCCCCTCTTTGCATTAAGATAGCCTGATAAATGAAAAGTTGATAAGAAATGGCAATGTACTTTTATATATAACTGTATTTATATTTCTTTTTTATAGGGTTAAATGCAAGAAAACATTCAATATATTTTGTTGAGTAAATTATACGAATGGTCCCTATGGTTTGGGGTAATTTGTGCGCTTAGTCCCTAACTTTTTTTTTTTTAACTCGGAACTCGGAAGGTCCTTACTTTTTGTTTTTGTTACGTGCTTGGTCCCTACTGTTTGTTTTCGTTACACGTTTGGTCCTTATCTTACATAAAAAGACAATTATTTAAATAGGAAAAAATTGTGGGGTAGGTAAGGTAAGGTGAGGGGATGGGATTGGGGGTGTATTTATTTAAATAAATTAAAATATCAATGGCAAAATAGTCTTTTTAGGTAAGACATGGACCAAGCACGTAACAAAAACAAACAGTAGGGACCTTCCGAGTTAAAAAAATAAGTTAGGGACTAAACACACAAATTACCTTAAGCCATAGGGACCATTCGTGTAATTTACTCTATTTTGTTTTATTTGTTTATTATAACATACCATCCTACTTTCATTTATTGTAACTAGGGTTAATCTGATATAAGACCTTATATTTTGTGATTTTTTTTTCGAATTGAATTTACTCAACTTTATTTTTTTTCCTGAAAAAGACCTTGCATTTTTTTTCGATGGGTTTTATACAGAAAAGTCTCATTATTTTGATAAAGTCTTAAAAATAAAATTGAACAGAAAGGTCCCGATTATTTAATATTTTGCTTAAAATTATCGTGTAAAATTAAATAATCGGAACTTTTCTATTCAAAAAATATAATTTAGGACTTTATCAAATATTTCCTAAAATAATGGGACTTTTCTGCATAAAACCATTTTTTCGATTTGGTCCCTTTATTCGTTTTTTCCGAAAAAATGGTTAATCTCATAAAAGACCTTATGAGAAAGTAATTGCATAAAACAAAGCAATTTTCAATGATATAATTGGGTAGATTTTTCAAAGTATTATGTCCTAATTAAAAAAAAAAAGTAATTGGGTAGATTTTTAAATGATTATGCCTAAATCACAATGATGTAAATATGTAATAGAAAAAAAAAATGAAAATGGGATCCTATAAACAAATTTATAAATGAAAGTACATTGTTGTTTCTTGCCTTTCACCCATTTTTATGAAGGCATTGTTTACTTTGATTTTTATTTTTCTTATTATAACCGTTAAAATTGCTTTGATTTTTATTTTTCAAAGTATAATGTTGAAATAGTAAAAATAATTTTACAATTTACATACCAGAACATAAGGGAGACTAGTCCACCAAAAGTCAATCTTGGAACTAATTTTCATATCCCCAAAATCTCCCCCAGATTTCCTGTTTCTACCTTTTTTGCCCTTTAAACTTCCATTACTATAAGAATCATCATTCTTGGAAGATATTGAAGCATTACTTTGACTTTCTTGACCAAAGCCTCGAGGTTTCCTTATCTCTTTTGAAGCACCTATGTATAAAACAAGTGATTTTTTTTTTGAAGTATAAAATTCACTTTGTAAATAAATATATTTTTAACATACCTTTTATTGATTCAGTCTTAGTTGCTCTTTGTTTTGTTTTTTCACTTCCATTCACCAACTTATTTATAGGCTCTATAATGGGAATAGATTCATCTACTTGTTCTTGATCTTTATTGTCAAATTCACCATTAACAACATGAAGATCTTTAGTCTTATCAAATCCTTTTGGCTTTTCCCCTGAATCAATTGATGGGCTTTTATATTTATACTTCTTTTTGAACATCAATGGAGCTGAATCTTCTTTTATTGGAAACTTAGGGGGCAACTTTTCATAATTACCTTCTAAACTTTTTCTTAACTTCATTAATCGATTATCCACCTCTTTCTCCTTCAATGATTTATCAATCAAATCATGATCAATATCAATATCATCATCATCTTCTTCTTCTTCCACCAACCCTTTTCTCTTTGCTTCTACCCTTTCTTGTTGTCGGGCATCCCTTGCCATTTCTTGAATTTCTACAATTCTGTTATCCATTTCAGATTTATCAACTAATAGTATTCCACCCTCTGTGGTTTCCATTGAATTCGGATTCTCTTTTGAATCTAATGCCCTAGGTTTCTTGTACTCATCGCTATTCAAGTTTCGATCTTCACCCTCTAAATCATTCCATCCAAATATCAACACGGCGCAGATCGTTTGAAAAACAAAAGCCCCAACTAAATACAATCCGATTTTAACAAATGACCTAGTTGAGAACTCACCCGCAATGCCATCGAGGAATCCAGTGGTTTGGGAGAGAGAAAGCTGGTCGGTTTCAGTAATCTGTTGCTGCACAGTTTCTTCAATGGCGATTGGTGGGGTTTTGAGGGGAAATTCGGGATTGGAAATGTCTGGATAAGGCTTGTTTTCTAGGGTTTTGAGGATTTTCTTTCGGAGATGGTTAGTTCTTCTTCGTCTTGATGGAAACGATGAGGGAAGAGAAGAAAGTAAGACGAGCGATTTTCCGGGGATTAGAGCTGCCGAGGTGGTCGGTGGGACGGAGGATGAAGATATGGCAGCGGCGGCGGACATGGTGGCACCGTGTGCACCCGCCATTGATTTTTTGAATTTTTTTTGTTCCCCACGAATAAAAGGTTCCTTGTAGTTTGAGTCTCGTTTTAGTTGTGGAACAAGTTTTATTATTTAAATGTTTTCATTGCCACTTTTATAATAATGTGAATAATAATAATATTATATTATATTATAATTTTTTTTATAGAATAGTTATTTAGTAATTGATTCATTTATCTAAAAAATTGATATATTTTGAATGCGGAAGATTATTTTATTGCTAATGTGATTTTGCAAGGTGCTAGAAACACATAACCAAAACTTTTGGGCATTGGCAATGTTACATGTACAAGACAGAGAAATACATAAAATATTAAAATTATACCAAGATGAGCAATCGGTTGATGTGAGTTTTACTCTATTCTTGAACCAAAGAAAGGAATTGTTCTTGATCTCTTTTATGACTTTGTGAAAAGATGTTGGTTTGTTGTTAAATACCTTTCATTATCGACTCAACAAATACACATGCAAGATGAGAGAATAATTGTCTAAAGTAGTAGCTTTATGGGTGTAGGAAGTTTTCAATCCACTTTGGAATTGAGATGATTTCTATAACTTTATGGGAGCATGAACAAGGGAGAAGCCAAGAAATTTTTTTAGGGTGTTGCTCATATATTATTAAACATCCAAAAACTAGAAACATATATAAATTATCAAACAACCGCAAACTTCAAACATATATAGATTACAAATTCGCTAAGGTCGTCGACGAGTTCTCATTTTATTAAACATATTGTTGATATCTTGATTGGCAACATCTGCAAAAACCTCTTTTCGATATAAGCAACCAAGTTATCATTCATCCATTGATCTCCCATTTTATTGTGTATCCTGCTCTTCACAATCTTCATAGCGGAAAACGATATCTCAACTGTTGCTGTTGAAACTGGTAACGTCAATGATAATTTGATGAGCAAGTAAACCATAGAAAACACTTTATCCCTTTTTGTTTCAACCATCTTCTGTGCAAGATCACCAATCCCATTTAGATTCAAAAACTCTGACGAATTCAACATATCGAGAATATAAATTTCCAGTTGATCGTTAAGTATCTCCAAATCCATATCTGAAAAATCATTTGGATATAAACGAGCTAGCTGAATTATTTTGTTTTTATCAAAAGCTGCAAATGAGTTATTTGGATTGAGACACACCATGAAAAGAAGCAATTTGTGTCAGTCTCACTAAAACGACTCTATAGTTCTGTGCGTTGCAAATCAATGACATTGTAGAATAACTCTACACGATAGTAGTGTAAGTTTGTTATCTTTGGATATTTTCGTCGTAGCCGTCCAAGAAGTAAGAACATTGCATCCATGTTGCAAACCTCAATCTCGTGTTTTTTACAAAACAATGTAGTCTGAGTGAGCATAGAATCCCATCCACCATCCCTCAAATTCGCAATTGCATCTTGCAAATTCTAACCAAGTTCATTGCATTTACAATATCTTGATCTTTCCTTTGCAATGTTTGGGACAACTCATTAGTAATACCCAATAATTTTTTCATGAAGTGCAGAGAAAATATGAAATCAAAGGTCTGCAAGGAGTTAATTAACATATCAGCTTCACATTTTTGTTCTGGGGTTGCTCCATCTTCCGCAATAATCTCAAGAACATCTAAAACGGATGGAAACAATGTAACCATACTTATCAAAGTACCATCATGGGATCCCCAACGTGAGTCTCCCGGTTTGATAAGAGATGTTTCTTGATTGAGGCCTCGACCGCTTATGATTTCACCTAAGCCAAGTGCTTTAATAACTTTAGAAGCTTGTTGTTCTCGAAGACGGTCAAGACGCTTGCAAGAACCTCCAACAACATTCACAACATTGGTTAGCAACACAAACAAAGAAACTATTTTTGAATTATTTTTTGCCACTACTACAAGAGTAAGTTGAAGCTGGTGAGCAAAACAATGAATATAATATGCACTTGCATTTTCATTCAAAATCAAAGTTTTAAGACCACCAAGTTCACCTTTTCATATTACTTGCCCCATCATAACCTTGTCCGCGCAAACTGGAGATGCTCAACCCATGTCTTGAAAACAAATTATCGAGTGTCTATTTAAGTGTAATAGCTGTAGTATTTGGGACATGCTCAATACCTAGAAAGCATTCAATCACACGACCTTCTACATCTATATACCGCAACAGAACACTCATTTGTTCTTTAATCGAAATATCACGAGATTCATCGACAAGGAGAGAGAGAAAAGATTCGCCAATATCATTTATAATGAGCTTCGCTGTTTCAATCGTAGTTGCATGAACAATGTCTTTTTGGATATCTGGTGAAGTCAACTTTAGATTCAAAGGATCATTATTGAGAGTAACATCTTTAATGCTTTGATTATGATCAGCTAGAAATTGCAACAATTCTATAAGTTCCCTATGTTAGTTGAAGTTTCACTATCATCATGTCCTCTAAATGCAAGACCTTGTCTTAATAGAAATCGAATACAATCAATTGATGCATCCAATCGTATATCATACTCTATTGAACTTTGTGTTGAATGCTTTGCGAACGCAACATCAACACGTTGTTTGTTGTTCAATAAATCATTGCACTTGGACCAAGCTTGGTTGTGAACACTCTTGAAACCTCCAACATGTTGATTCAACTTTTCTTTATGTCCCCAATTTTTAAATCCCACACTAACAAATGTTTCACCGCCTCCTTGTGCTCCAACATATGGTTTGAATAAATAACAATATAAGCAATATGCAACATTTTGAGTTACACCATATTCTAGCCATGTAGAATATTCTTTAACATTAAACCAAGCAACATTAAATCTTCGTAGTTTTTTGCCAAAAAGAGTGTAAGGAAACTCATGAGATTTAGGTTGGCAAGGCCCTTTTAAGAGGTATGCTCTTCGAACTTCGTCTTGAACATTAGGATCATAATCTAAAATCTTAGTCCTCATTTCAAGGTCTGAGGGAAGATCTGGTATGTAATGCCCCGACTCTCAGGTATTGTTTTAAATAAGATTTCTTGGGTTAAGCCTTACTCGACGAGTTGGTTGCCCTACTCATCGAGTAGCAGCGGGGTGGGATCACGTGTTAAGTGACCTACTCGACGAGTCCATATTGGGACTCGGCGAGTAGGAGTTGGCAGATGAAACCGTAAATCTCGGTGTTTGTACCCCTATTTAATGGGACCTTAGCCTCCCTTGGACCTCTTTACAGTTCTAAAGAGTCCTTGAGAGCCCTTATTCGTGTGTGTGTGTGTGTGTGCCTTATGTATGTGTTGAAGCTTGAAAAGAGGATTTTTGGAAGGAGAAGACTTGGAGGAGAAGGAGATTGGAGCAATTAGAGTGTGGAAATCAAAATTCATCTCAGATATCATCTTCCAGAGGTATCTAAACCATCACTTTCCTTATAGATATCCTCTATTGGTTGAGTTTTAGGGTTTTCTTGGAATATCAAGTTGGTATGATGAGCTATGGGCTAGATCTGAAGTTGTAACTCCAGATCTGGACCCCCTTCGGATTCTAGAAGCATAAAGTTGGAGTTTTGATCATGATTGAGGTCCCTCTTGGGCATGAAGCCCCATTAAGAGCTTAGATTTGGCATTTGGAGCATTTAAAGCCATGCATGCACGTAAAGTTTGCAACTTTACGTGATAAGCATGACCTAGAAGCTTGGATCTGTGAGTTGGAGCCTCTGCATGGCTCAAAATAGGTCTATATGGAAAAAGGACTGAATGGACTCGGCAAGTCACATGAAGATGACCGTGAACTCAATGAGTTGGATGAACAACTCGGCGAGTCCGATGATGATTGCCATAGACTCAACGAGTTGAAGAACAACTCGGTGAGTCGGATGAGTTTTCTCCTGGATATGTATGCGGGTGTATCCGTCGAGTTACAAAGAGGGAACTCAACGGGTGGCCTTAAAGTTTGATCGGGAATCGAAGGAACTCGACGAGTCACCCTAATGACTCGGTGAGTTGGAATGTGCTTCAAGGAACTCGGCGAGTCGAGGTCAACATGGACTGTTGACCTTGATTGAGGGCTTTGACTTTGATCAGGGGTTGACTAGTGGGTTATGGAGTATCTTATAAGGTTAAGGACTTACGAGCATGTTGTGTTATTGGTGGTGGAGCCTGTGTCAAGTGATCCGAGAGTTGGAGCTTACCTTCCGAGTCGACATCTACGAGGTGAGTTATCCTCACTATATCGATAGGGTCTATGGCACTAAGGCCAACCTTTTAGTTGTTATTATGGTATGCTATATGTGGTTATGATCTGTTAGATCGGAATCAGGGTAGACAGTATGCTATGCTCTTATGATTCGTAGGGATTAGTATATTAGTGACCTGCTAGGTCGGTACTCTAGTTATGAGAGAATTCTATGATTGATGACCAGTGATAAATATGCTTGATGTTTATATATGCCAGTATATGATAGTTATGCGCACATAGTATTTTCTTGTTGGTTGGGTTGAGGCGGACCTGCTTTGTGCTGTAGGCCAACACACCCTATGAGCGATCTGGGGAGACTGTGGGCCCACGTGGCAGACCATTCATGCCGAAGGCTTGGGATAGATCAAGATAGACTGTAGGCCCTGTATGGTGGTCTATTCAGGCCGATGGCCCAGTATGCATGTTGATTGATTGATTGTTACTAATATAGTATTGTCAGTGTGGTATTGGTATTGGGGGTAGCTCACTAAGCCCTCAGGCTTACAGTTTTCAGTTTATTGTTTCAGGTACTTCAAGAGATCATGGAAAGGCAAAGGCGTCACCGTACCGCTCCTCATCCTTATGTTATGATTTTTGGGACACTCTGATGGATAATGATTTGAAAACATTTTGTAAACAATGCTATTTGGTTTTTATTTATGATTGAAAAGTTTAAATTTGGTGTAAAATTTATGAATGTTACATGGTAAATTGCTTTCCACACGACTATGTTTAGAAAAATCAACATTAGATGCCTCTGATGAATCCAGAAATTTTCTCTTTGTTAAATATTT